TTGATGGATGGATGGATGGGTGTGCAATCAAGTTGATGTTATTTCTCAGTAACAAAATAGGTAAACTTTTTTCAGGAGGAGCATATGTTTTGGGATAGCTTTTTGAAAGAAGATAAAACAAGAGGATTAAATTTTGGGGAATAAAAACATTTTCTTTCAGATCCTCTGGACAAAAATGTGTCTAATTGTGTTAGTTTATATCAGCACTCACTAGCTAGTTTCAGGAGGACTTGAGAAACCCAATTTGAGATGGGGGCATGTGAATTTTTGGCAACTTGTACAGATCTCAAGCCATGGAAACAATCGCATCTAGAAGATTTCCCTAAGATTTGATACAAACCAAGAACTGGATATTTGAAGAAAATGTGCTTTCTATTAGTCAGTGAGGAAATTTTGAGACCAGTTAAGATGGATCTCATAACAAATATGTGACTAACTTGGGATGATTCTTCAATACATGAAGAATACCTACATTTCTTTGTTTGGTGTCTCTGAATAGATCCTTCTAAGGTTGAAGTCCTTCTGATTTGGCAAATATCCAAGTGTGCAAAGGATGCCCAATTACATTTAGACTTCATCTGTCACTACTGGGTTAAGCTCCCTCTTCAATTTTCCCTAGTCACATCCGCAAATCTAATGGCTCAATGGATACATCAACACTTCAAATGGTATCTGGGCTGCAAAAGTTCAAATGAGCAACCAGGATGATTAGAGGACTGGAGACTAAACATATGAAGAAGGGTTACAGGAACTGGGCTTGGCTAGTCTAGGGAAGAGAAGGGCCAGGGGAGGCATGATAGCAGTCTTCCAATATTTGAGAGGCTGCCACAGAGAGGAAGGGGTCAAGCTATTTTCCAAAGCATCTGAAAGCCAGACAAGGGATAATGGATGGAAACTGAACAAGGAGAGACTCAACCTGGAAATAAGGAGAAACTTTCTGACCGTGAGAACAATCAACCAATGGAACAGCTTTGCCTTCGGAAGTTGTGGGAGCCTCATCACTTGAGACTTTCAAGAAGAGATTGAACTGCCATTTGTCAGAAATGGTGTAGGGTCTCCTGCTTGGGCAGAGGGTTGGACTAGATGACCTACAAGGTCCCTTCCAACTCTGATTATCTGTTATCTGAGCAGAAAACAGGAAAAAATGGAGTTTTGCAGGCTGGATGGGATGAAGACACGTTCCTTTTCCAAAATCAAGATCTCCCAGGACATGGGGAAAAACCCTATACCTATGAAGGAAGAATTGGAGGTGAATGCATCTTGGAGAACAGAAATTGGTCAAGAGGTTCTATCCAAATTTATGATCCCTGTCTCTGAGTCTAGACCGCATAGAAAACCATGACTGCAAGAATTAAGGCACAATGAAAGGTTCCTGGAAACACCTCATACATACATTTTTATTTCTTTTCTTTGGTTTTAACAGATATGGAATTTCAGAGGATAATTCTAGTGAAAAAAGTAAGGTTGTAAGATAAGATATCACTATTGCCTTTCTCCCAAAAGAGTTATGATTCTGTTGTCTTGAAATAAACCTCTGTGAGGACAGGAACTAGGGAAAGCACTTAAAAATGTGAGATTTCATCTGATCTGCCAAATGAGATGAACAGGGGAAAATATGACCTCACACTTCTTTGGAGTTAGTGTATCTTTTGGGACAGGGTCCTGCTGCATAGCTGGCTGGAGAATTCTGGGAGTTAAAGTCCACAAGTCTTAAAGTTGCCATGTTTGGGGACCCTTGGCTTAGATGAATGGAAGAAAAATTGATTGTCATATTTATTATCTAGTTGTAAAAGACAACACATCTCTGTGTTCAAGTGAGAAATGAGCCAGCATAACTGAAAGCGTATTGTTTCAGAGTTGTCATTGACTCTTACCAACCATATACTGTAGCCATAGCCTCTAGTATTTAGGCTTATATACCACCCCAATTGATAGTGCTTGTCAAAAACAGGCTGGTAAGGTCAGAAATCGTGATCACATGATCACAGGAGACTCCAACTGGTTGTAACTGCAAGTGGTTACCAATCACCCAAATTGCAATCATGTGACCAGAGGCGTGGTGCGTTGGTCATAAGGGTGAGGACAGATTGTCAATCACTTTTTCCAAGGCCATAATTTTGAAACATAGTTAAATGAATGGTCATAAGTCAAAGTATAAATGTACAAGTGTCAGAGCATTTGCAGCGTGACTACTATTATAAGACAACCCAGGAACAAAACACAGCACACAGAGACTTAGACATTTAACAGTGATTGATATACAGGATATATACAGAAATATGCATGGTAGGCAAATACCTGACAATCAATCTTTTAAACTCTGCACTGAGAACTTTGCAATGGATATAGGACACAAGGTGAGAGAATACACTCTCTAATGGCCACCTTATATAGACACCTCTTAAAGTGGTAAAACTTCTGTGGACCCACTCTTAGTCTTAAAGAGGCAATACCAATGCTGATTCGTCTTCATTTCATCATCCTTATATTGCATCAGCCTTACATTGCATCAGCTTTACACTGCATCAGCTTTACAACTGGTCAGCTCTTAAATCTCAGTACCTTAACAATAAGCCGTTCAAAATTTAA